AGAATAGATTGGTCATCAATGGCAATAGCTTCAGGTCAAGTGCCAGTCTGTATGACAAACTTCCTGTTGTCTCCAGAGGTACTGTCTATATGCAGTAGTGCCAACTAAAGATTGTAGCCATCTAGATGTGCTCTTAGCTGACATGTCTGTTTTAACTATTATGCCCAACTGCTCTAAGTTAAAGAGCTGGGCAAACAGAGAGGACTTTAATGCAGGTTCCCTCCAGTGGAGGTGAGTTGTGAAAGCTAGTTTGCTTATGAATTAATGGAGGTTGAATTTAACTATGAGAACAAGATCTGTTCCCAGGACTGTCTGGTTTTGATTGTTCAACAGTAAAATAAATTTGGGAGAGTGAAGTGATAGCAAAGATCACTCTTAAGGGAACAAGGATTTCATACTATACAGGAATGTAATATATAGTTGTCTGGAATTAGAGATGAGCAGTGAGTTGGCCAAGTTTGCTAAAACTAAAGGGCACAATAAAGGGCTATAAAATGATTTCTTCAAATTGGCAGGAATGGACATTAAAATGGAGAATGTGGTTTAACACGTGCAACTGTGAAGTGACATACCTATGCTGGGACAAAAATTCTTAATTCCACACAAATACTGATTGTGTCTGAACTAAAAGTGACTGGTGAGGAAAGGGACCTTTGTGTTGTGGCAGTGTTCACTCAAAATGTTGACAGTGTGTCATTGCTATGCAAAAGGCAAATTTAATTTCAGGATCATTAGGAATGGAACAGGGGGAAAATAAAGCCACCAATAACATAATGCACTACACAAATCTATGGCCGGGATATTGTGTAAAATTCTGTTTACAGTTCTGGTCACCCTGCATCTCAGCAAGGATATTGTAAATATAGGAAAGGAGACAAGGAGGGTAATTCAAATAATCAAGGGGCTGGAGCAACTCCAAATGTTTATGACTTTTTCCAGTAAAGAGGCAATGGACAGAAGTGTGTACAATTAGGAATAACATGGAGAAAGTGGACAGTGATACATTTATCTCTTCCCATAATATTAGAATACTATGTTATCCAATGAAGCTAAATGCCATGGTAGGATATTTATTTAAGACAAACAAAAGAAAGCACCCCTTCCCCCAATAGGAAGATGTAGTGGTTGATATATCAATTCACACATGAATTTATGGATATATGGATATACCTATATTACCCGCAGCTTCAGTTTCAGAAGTGGCATGCTTCTGCAGATCAGATAGTGGGCAATATGGGCAGGAGGTTGCTGGGTCACTCATTATGTCCTCCCAGGAGCATCTTATTGGCCACAGTGGGAACAGGATGCTGGACTGGGTAGGTCCTTGGCCTGATCCAGCAGGGCTCTTTTCAGTTGCTTACTTAAGGCTGGGGAGTAAATAAAATAACAGAAGATATTCTGCAGGTGTATCCTCTACCTCAGTGATTGTCATATTGTGCCCTTTAAGGGATTTTGGACTTCAGCTCCAAAAGCCTCAGCCGTGTTGGCCAATAGTCCCATGTTGGCCAATAGCTCCTGGGATTCTGGGAGCTGAAGTCCCTCGGCCCTTAAAGGGGAAAGGTTGCCTACCCCTGCCTTAAAGGGCACAGTTTGGGAATCACTGCTCTACCCCCTTAGAGCCATCCCTGTGATTCAAGAGAGTCAGACCAGGTGCGGCAAGCTAGAAGTATAGTGAAGGACAAAAACTTGATTGGCTGTTCTACAAAATGAGCTGAAAAATATATGGCCAGGGCACTAAACAAGACAAATCTGAAAATCTGGATACTGCAGGCAAGTTTAGGGGTTGGACTGGGGTCACAGGAATGAACACGCTGTTTATAATCAGAGCTCCTGAATACACATACACATATCCTTCAGTACAGGCATTTAGCAAAGGAAGGAACCTTTCCCCTTCTTTTTCATAAATAGAAGAGGATGGGGTGGCAGAAAGAAGAAAAAAGTTTCTCATTTGTTTTATGGAAAGTTTGAAATAATGTCATTTCAAATTGTGGTTTTCCTAATTATGTCAAGGAATATTTTTAGATTGTATTTCTAAAAATATATTAGGAGGTGTTTACCAGGAATGCATGTTGCTGTAACATTTATGAGTAACTGCAGCATAAATAACTTCATCAGTATATAAACAGCAAATTCATAAATGCACTTAATAGTTTCTAAAACATCCTTAGGGCTATAAAATGATTTTATTAATCAAGTTATACTTAATAAATTTATATTCTTTAGAATTGTATTCTTATGTTATTTACACACATTATGCCGTTGACTTTAATGGAGCTTGCTTCCAGTTAAGTTCCAATGCTGCTAATAATAATAATAATAATAATTTTTATTTATATCCTGTCCCTCTGCCATGCAATCGGGGCAGCGTACAACATGTTAAAACATCACAATAAATTACTGTACATATTTACTGGGGGAGTGGTTGAGTAAAATTTCCAACCTGAATTCAGCTGGACATGGAAGCAAACTTTGCTGGAACTAAAGTCTTGCAACTCCAGGCTAAGGTCCTCATACATCTCAGGGAAAGTTACCTTCAGATTCACACATGTTTAGTACTTACAGGTGCTAAAGGAGTAAATAAGGTGGACGTTTAAGAACAACCAACAACTGGAGTGTTTCATTTCCCCTAAATACTTTTGAGCGTGTTTAAGTACAGTTTATAATGCTTTCAAAAAAAAAAATCCCAGTCATATTACACATCTGGCTCAGCAGCTGGGGTAATTTCGACCTATCCTGGTCCCCTTGAAACTCTGGGGGGGGGGTTAGTGCTAGGGAAACTTTTAGGGTTAGTGCTAGGGAATCATGGGAATTGTTTTTGTTTTTTTTCCTGAGACATTGAGCTTTCTCTGTCAGAGAGCTCTGGTGCCACAATAAAATACAGTTCCTATGATTCCCTAGCACTAACCCTAACCCTAAAAGTGGACTCAGTTTGCACTATTTCTGGCAGTCTGCAACCCCCCTCGGTCCCCTGGGAAGCACCGAGGCCCTCAGGATCCCATTCCCACCAACTTTGAACCATCCCTCGCTGCTCCCAACTCCTTTTGACAATGTTGACAATCTCCTTGCTGTTGCTGCTGTTGTTGCTCAATTCGTTTCCGATGTTCACTGTTGAGTAAGAAGAGCTAAGGCCTCCCTTCTTGGGCTCACCCAGGCGGAGGCAGGAGTGGGGTCGGTCCTCCGGCAGCCCCGACCCCGTCTCCCATCCTCACTGCAGAAATAATAACGTTGTTGTGTGCCCTCAAGAGATTTCCGACTTACGGAGGACCCACCACGGGGCTTTCTTGGCAAGGTTTTTCAGAGCTAGTTTGCCTTTCGCGGCCTCTAAGGCTGAGAGAGTGTGACTTGCCTAAGGTGGGGTTTCCATGACCCAGCGGGAATTCGAATCCTGGTCCAAAACTCCACAACACTATTTGACTGGTTCTCCATGATTACTACTGTCACTATCATTGCCAACAACTAAAGGAGAGCCAGTGTGGGATAGTGGTTTGAGGACTGGACTATGATTCTGGAGACCAGGGCTGGACTCCCAACTCGGCCACGAAACCTACTGGGTGACCTTGGGCAAGTCACAGACTCTCGGCCTCAGGCGAAGGCAAACCTCCCCTGAACAAACCTTGCCAAGGAAACCCCATGAGAGGTTCGCCTTCTCTGCCCTTCCTAAACGACTTGAAGGCACCCAACACACACACGCA